GAACCGATTGTTGCATCCAGTCGCTTATATTGAAAATAAAATGATTTAAGCAAGTATTTCTTGCATCAGAGATAATTAAAAGTTTGCTAATGTTAACAGCATTATAATACATGCAGAAACGTACATTTTTTTATAGATATTAAAAATTTAGGCTCTATGACTTGTATACTATGTCTATCACAGTCTATAGGATTTTGAATCGCTGCATGCATTCAAATTCAAATTAGGTCCACCCACACCCCACGGCCAGTGTAGCTGTAGCTGTCAGCTCGCTCAGAAGTGTGAAAGCTTTTGCCGGTGAAGGTGTGTTATACGATCGGTCCATAAAGAAGTGTTGTTCGGTTCAAAATGACATAAGAACAGGTTCTTTTGAATAACCTATGGATTGGCACCATGTAGCAATGATTGGATCCCTGTGACAGTACGTTGGACGCGTTCAAGCATTGATTCAATTTGATTGGATTCCTGCAACTGTTATGTTGGACGCGTTCAAGCATAGATTGGATTCTTGTTACTGTGATGATGCAAGCATTGTTTTTTCAATGAAACAGCTGTGGCATCTTGCAGAGACTCATCAGTGATGATGGACTGAAAGTGGAAGTGTGCTGGACGTTCCAGATTTTTGGGTCCTGCTTTCCGATTTGCTATGTTCACCAGTTAATATATTAAATATTACCCCTCTGGAATTCCACACTGCGTTGTGGGAGAGTCTAAAAAAAAACTCTCTGCTTTGCCACTATGGGCATTTGACCTTCCAGGACCCAATTTGACTAGTAGATAGAACAGAGAAGTTTGGTAATGCATTGAGAATCTTGGCTGTCCATACTCCATTTCAACTATCAATAGATTTTTACTTACATGTTTTTCAATCCCCTTGACCCCTATGGTTCCAAAATATGACTGGGCTAAAGCTTTGCTAGGAGCTAAATCATTTGCAAGAAATTTGGTGATGGGACACTCATCTGGTACAGGCAGCAGGCTCAATAATCAATAGCTGCTTTGTCATTGTGGCAGACTCCGAAACGGAGGTTTCAGTCTCACTCTCTGCCTCCGGTTCAGAAGTTCCAGATGAGAGGCTAGGTAGTTGTTCTCGTTTTTTTCCTACGTTTGCTGCCACCCCGTGCCCGTCCCATATTCCAAAAAATGAATGAAGTAACCACCTAAAGCTTAAATAAATTCTGAGATCGTTACTCACGATTACCTCTTCTTACCGATCACGTAACCAGATCTTACCTTACAAACGACACCAGAGATGTTTACTGACACTTTACTCGATGATCGCCGCCCGCCGGCAATGAACCTCCGTCCTCGATCCAGTGTCGAGTGTCGACCCATGGGGCCATGGGCCATGCTCAACTCAGCCTTGCGGATGTCTTGTATTGTTCGGATTCGGATGGTTCAAATAGTGAATATTGCTCGTGAACTCCATTCAAAATGATCCTCTGTGAACTAGCTTTATCTGATCTCCCCGAATCCTCTGAAAAACTATTCAAACTGTCAATTAGTATTGACTAACACATTGCCTGTATCGATATGCAATTATTTCGTAACGTTTATCAAATAAATTGGAAAGAGAACGACCAACCGAGTGGACTGACTTCTAATGCATTTGAATGGCATCAATTAGTCTTAACGTCAGATAAACGGCTTGATAAAAAATAAAGTGCTCCTGCAACATATCACATTTTTGTCAAGCCAGTATTCGTGTACCTAAATGATTCTTGTCATTTTTATTTTTTACTCTGATGCTGGCTTACTTTCCAATTTAAATAGATATAAAAAGGCCACACAGTGAAAAGTCTAATCGTACTATATCGAGTTGAAATTAAGAAGAGACGCATCTCTTCTTAATTTCTAACATCAGAAGGATGATCAGAGGAGTGGCAGTAAACTAGCGAAGCGCGAAGTTAATCGGTCAACTACCGAAGATTTTATTTTGCATTTATTCATCCCTCCATACGACAGAATTTATTTCTGACGCTGTTATGGTTAAGAACAAGACTGGTTAGCATTATGGATGAATTTTTACGAATTTTGAGAGTTAATTGACCAGTTATTTTAATAGGTTAAAAACAGATGCTATTAATACGCGTTTGACGCCAATTACAAACTGTTTGTACGTTTTCCGATACAAGTGACGTCACAGTGAAGATGCGCAGAACGGTGTCAAAATTACTAGAAACGTGGGTCAACCTTACATAGTTCAACCATGGGATACCGTGCTGGGTTGTCGTGCACGAAAAGGGCCAAATGCAATATATATTAGTAAACTTGCTATTTTAATCATGACATTTTATTTTTTGGATGTTTTATACTCTGAAAAATATTATAAACTTGAGGCCATCATTGATTTTTGCCCGCCAACGCATATGAGTAAAGGTTCAAATTGTCAAATATTGCCGGAAAAAGGCCCATGTGGCAACCCTGATCTCGTTTCACGAGATATCCATGAAACATACGTATGAGCAATCCGAAAAATTTCATCAAATGCCCGATGCATTTCGTTTTCATAAAAACATACGTACTGTCTCGAATGATTGTAGATATTGGAATCAAATCAAGTTAAAACAAAACAATTAACAGAGAATAATGCTTTACGTCACTACGATCTCAAATCCTAACCAGGTGCTGATTAAAATCAGAACTGGAATCTTAATGTTACTTATTTAAAAGCTAACAATAATGTTAACGACGAAATGCATACAGAATGATACTCAATTTACTGGATGAAGTATTCATCAGCATGTATAAAATAGATCAACTATTCGTTTCACAAGCGCCGTTGAACTAATAAACTATGTATTACAATTATCAGCTATCCAGGCGTGTGAACTGGGTGTAGTTAACCCTCTACCGCCGTATATGTCACTCTCCGGATACATAACTTTCAACTTAAATTATACGTAAACTGTTGAGTATAGCAGCCTGATGACGTTTTTACGCCACAGAGAAGATTTCAAAGTTGTCGTCCGTGGCGGCAACCATCAGTGCAAATCATTTTGCAATCACTAGAACGCATCGTTGAACTATATAAGATTGATCCACGAGGATTTCCGTCTTTCAGTTCAGCTTTCTTGTTCGTCACTGAGATCGAGAAACGTAAACAATCCCGTCATTCCCATGATGGAATGGTTGACTGGTTTAATCGCATTTCGCTGATTGGGTAATGCCCGTGACGTCACTGAGATCAGTGACGTCACAGGCAAACAACGAACTACATCTGCAAAAATGAGTTTCTCATGGGTCAACCTTATACAGGGTGAACCAGAATTAACTGACCCTTTTAATTTGTTAATAAATAAAAAAACTATGAACGCTATGAAGTTGAAACTTGTTTTATTTAAAAGAAGAACATTTTTATGGTAATTTTGTATCCTAGGTTTTAGGATACAATAACTAACTAGGATACAATATTACATACAATATTTTAACTAATACATATTATTAATACATAATAAATATTTTAACTAATACTGCATACAATATTACCATAAAAATGTTCTTCTTTTAAATAAAACAAGTTTCAACTTCATAACGTTGTTAGTTTTTTATTTATTAACAAATTAAAAGGGTCAGTTAATTCTGGTTCACCCTGTACTAGTTAAACCACGACTAGAACGTATCTTCTTTGGGAAGTAGGATTGTGACAGTATTGCTCCGGTTACCCATGTCAGGCGGTAGTGGGTTAAACCAACTATTGTTTGCTGCTCGAACGTAGTTTTGATGAATTGACCTCATAAATGGTAGTAAATCTAAAAATGTAGTCGGAGCGCGAATGTATAAACTTAATGTAAGGAAATATTTGCATTTCAGTATAAGTTTAGATAAATTCCGTTTCGACTAATTAATTTCCAAGTATTATAATTCAAACGGTAATTGTCATTATAAACGGAAGCAAGCTCAACTTTTTGTATGTTTGTATCAACAGGGATTTTATGCTCCATTCATTCAACTACTGTAGTTAGGAACATCATGGTTACGAAAGCATTAGAATGTAGAAGTTAGTACGTATATAAGTACAGTCAGAATAGTGTAAGCAGGGTTACAACGCGTGCGTGCTTAGTTCGCATGATCGATACTCGCCGCGACCAAGGCAACAGCAGCACAGGCGACCCAGCGCGCATCGGAGATCAGTTAACCGGCGCTCGTCGTTCTGTGTCTATCTGTACGCTTACCGTCATGTTAAATGAAATTTAATACATGAAATTTGGCTCTAATTATTCTCCCGGTACTCTAAGAAGTATTGTAGGAAACGCTGATAATAGCGGTTGTGTGTTATTGAGTGCAAGAACGGCCGTTTATTGATCGGCGAGCGGTGGTGCAGACGAGTGAAGGTACAGCTGCATCTTCTGAATGTGTACCGGGCAGCGACCAGCAGGCTGTAAAGATTTTCACGATAGGAGATTGTGACCTTATGAACCATTTTCTTGTTTATTGTGAATCACTATTTAGTTTCATGACAAAATCAGATACCACCCATCAGAACCTATCGGATAACCATTCATCCCGTAGACGTAAGAAGCAACACAACAGCCAAGATCGGCAGCCAGCTTCGGCGGATCCAACAGAGAAGCAGGCGGGGGTCGCGGCTGCGGCCTCACGGTATCCGTGCTACGGTCCCTGCAAAATTGAGAACAGACCAGAATCTGGGAACTCGAATTCCGTCGAGGCCAAAAGACAAGAGGAATCTAAAGCTTATATTTGTAGCCAGGGACGAAGAGCTCTGCAGTACGAAGTGAAGAGACGAGCCTCCATGGCGTCCGTAGTGCTCAAATCTCTGTCCATTTTGTTAGGTATTTTCTTTATTTTTGTGGGTACAACAAAGCTCACACCAAGAGTCAGCAAAGAACTCTACAAGGAATTGGTTGGTATTTGCATCCTTAACTAATTTAAAATTCTGAAGGAAAAATCTGCTATAAAAATTTAAAACTCAGCTGTGTTGCATTATAAAATTTAGTTTTCGAAAATAAGGAAATAACATTCATTAAAGTTTTGGTTTCTTGATATTGTCCGCGGACAAATAATGGTAACATTTGATTTGGAACCAATTATTAACAAAAGAATATAAATCATCCAAAGTAGATGGGATCTTAAGGCCCCATTCAAAAATATGTTCTTGTATAAATTACCAAAATTGACTAATTTCTTGCACTTGAATTCAAGCCCAATTCTATTTTAGTTTCCTTCCCCCCCCGGTCAAGTCAATAGAGAGCAAAATTCAATACGATGATTGTTTGAGAAGTAACGTATTCTCATCAAGTCTCATTGAAGTTTAGGCACATAATTTACATTCATTTCTCATTGTGCACTATTAATCTTCTAGCACTAGCTTTATCCCTTCTTTTAGGTGGCAATGTATATTAAATCATAAAATAATGCATTTTCAATTGCGTGTAAATAAAACGAGTTTATTGTTATGACAGCGGAAGGAGTTTGCGAGGTACGCCAAGGTGTTCCCGCTGGCCCAGGCCCTGGAGTACAAAATCCCTTCAAAATGGTACCGGCGCATCGTCGGCGCGTTTAAAGGCTAAATGATTAATGCACCTATATCACTGAAATTGGTGCTTCTAATACGATTTATAAGCTTTCTATGAATACTTTTTATATCAGGCGTGAATGTTCTGTAATTTGATCATTTAATATTAACCCTGTTTGTAAATGGAAGCAATACATTGCATGAAAACAATGAATTGAAAGTCTACGCAAATTGTGATTAACATTCAGTTAATAAAATCACCTAATCGTTTTTGGCTACTGATTCAGCACACCTCTAAGTCATTTTATGCTCGTTCTAGAAAATTATCATTTGATTTAAAAAATGATAGCGGAAAATTCGGCATTATCCTGAAAAGGTTAACGATATGAACATGTAGTATTATCTGTGTTTGGTGTTATATTGTACTGAAAATGTTGTTAGCGGTATGTGAAATTTTACGTATATCTTCTGAGGCTTAGCCAACCCTGCCCTCAAAACCTAGTAACCTTCTTTTTGAGTCTTTTAATAACGTTCAGAGTTTATAGTGCCTTGATATCATACCATTGGATGAGCAAGAATATGAAAGGAAACACTAAAACTTTGTTGATGTTAATTGAACGCGTTTGATTTTTACAAATTTAAAAGTCGTCCAGTGAGAATTTTGAAGCCTCGGAATTCTTTTTTTTCCAGGCCGAGTTAAGCAAGTGGCGAATTTGACGCTGGTGCTGATGATGCTATTCGCCACCTACAACCACTGGATGGTTGGTGACAAGTTCGAGCGCATCGCTCCATCTTTGGTGAGAACGTACACCAGTACCTATATAGTTAGTAAAGAAGTCAATTGTCTCATCTTTTACCGTCTAATCAAAAATTTAACCGGTATAGTCAGTACGATCTTAGATTGTATGACTTAAAATTGTAAAAGGGATTAAAAAAAGTAGCCATGTAGAAAATTTCGCGTGCGCCCGACAGCTGCATTCATTTAATGTATGGCCATTTCGGCATCCATATACTAATGCTTTATCGAAGATGATACGTCACATCAAGGTTTGTTTCGTTCAAGTGCAATGCCAAATTTCTTTATTTTAAATGCTTTGTTATATTACTTTTTCTTATGTCATTTCCTTATTATCTAGTTCATGCCATCCGCGCGAGAGTCCCGCCTCAGTTCCAAATATTATGTCATGTCCTTGTTTCAGGTGTTCTTCTTCATGCTCACCTGTCGCTTGGTTGTTGAATTCCAAATCAAGAGGAAAGAGCAGCAAGAAAGTAAAGAGAAAGCCGACAAGATCTCCAAGTCACCAGAAGTTTTGGATCAGGCGCCCTCCGCGTCAGCTGCACCAACGGGAAAATTGGCTGCGCGGGAAAACCGCAATCATTCAGGAGCGTCAAACAGAACTAAAAAAGATGATTAAAGCTATTCCGATACTTGCTGTAAGTTAGCAATCATCATTTTGTGTTCTTGGAAAGCAAGTTATTTTATGTTTGTCTTCGCCCATTTAAAAGTCAGTTTTAACACTGTAAGTTAATTCCATGTAGTTTTTGGAAAGGTCTCATATTCGCAGAATGAGTTGAAGTAGTTCCCAACTTTCGTTATTAGAATTTGATTGTGGTATATACGTCATGATCCTATGCTCGGGAAGTAATTGCGGTGTGATTTTTCTATCATTGTTTGAAGCCATTAAAGGTGTGCAGCTTACATTTTTACTATATCAAATAGTATGTCCATTCCGAGTGCCCAGTATTGTGTGAATAAGGGTCAGCGTTTTCCATGTAATCAGTATTTTTGCCATTCAAAGGTACGATCATCTTAAAGTATAAGACGGATTGTGGTGCCGGACGCTCAATGCCTCAGAATTTCATCCATTAACGCAAATAAAATCATTAACATGTCTCCATTTGGGATTCAGTGGAAACTTTGATACAATTTTGGAGAGATGGTGACTCCGTTTCTTGATTGGTCAGTCGAAGTAATTTAACAATTTAACTTCCTCAACGATCTTCTTCTAGTGTTCTTTGCATTGCTTAGTTGGAACGTGCTTGCTAATTTTTGTAACAGTTGTCACATGGTATTAGGACTCAGAATAAGGACCCTGCTTATCCCATTATCTATGTTAACACTGTTGAGTCAATTAACAGTACTTGCAATGATTACGAAAGAATTTTCACTTCACAGCAGGGTAGGTATACTATACATTATTCGATCTCTGGAACGAAAATCTTTCAAAATCAATGCGTATTCACATGTGTATTTTGAATGCTTACAGCGTTGAAATCAATCAGATAGTTCTTATAAATGGTGAAAATATCATAAGCTGCTATTTCAGAGAGACACTTAGATTTTCTGATTACATGCCTCGTGTTTGCTTGCCTGTTGAACATGCACACTATAACAAGTGTATATTCATTCACGATGGCTTAAATATTTAAGTTGAAATATTGATATTGTGCACACACTTGTCATTAGATAAGTTTCTTCGCGTAAGACTAGAATATGTACGTTGATTTAGAGCGCACTAAACATTCTTGGCGTATCGAAGTTATCAATTGTATTTCATATGTCAAGTTGCGATTCAGTTAGGTAGTTCATTATGATACGAGTACTTTTTGGATATTTTGATTTGACAGTTTTGCCTTGATGCAATTATAATTCAAGGTATATAACCTCCTTAGAAGTCCAAGTCTGTTTATTTTTTAACAACAGTATTTTGCGTTTCTTCTTTAATATTGCTCACGTCTTTACGCTGCAAGACTGCTCGCTCTCTATTAATAATTCTTATTACCCCCAAAAAATTCAAATTTGGGGTCACCCAAACAACTTTAGGGGGAATTAAAATTGCTACCATATTTCCACGGCAGTTTCAACTGCACAGACAATGGCTGCTTCACAACAGTCTATAGATTCAATTTTCGGTCTTCTTCAATTTTCGGTCGGTTCTTTTTAAACAGCACCTCGTTTCAAAGACTCTTTCTTTTCTGTGTTGCTTGAAGTTCAACCTACAAATAATGACCTCTCAGTTGGAGATGTGATGACTAATAATCCCTTTCACCATCGGATTTGTTGTTTCTCTTAAAGAAACTAAAACTACGTAAAAATGTCGAGTACAAACATCGTGTTTTAAGCGAACAAAAAAACGTTTTTTTACTCAGCAAGTCCCGTCGGATAGACACTAAAATTTATTTGTCACTTGTTAAGTTTCCACCTATTATTTCTAAATATCTTAATATTGAAACAAAAGTAAAAATTCTTCACTTCAAATGCTGTGAAAAAGATAATGTAATTTAAGACTCGGAAACGTTTTTGAGAAATGAATTTGTCAGGAGTTAACCATATGAGCTTATATGTTATACAGTAAATTTGCACCGTTAGTCTAGGAAATTGTTCTGATTTAATATTAAGTTTTACTGATAATCCGTGTGTAAGCAGTTGATTTATTTGCATCCAATAAAATTTCTGATTTCGGTTGACTTCTTAACACTATTTTGATTTTTCTTCGCGCACACCAAAATCAAAAACCGTGATTAAACCACTTTTCTTGTCCACCATTATATCACTAACCTAGACCATTATTATCAATGATCATTGTACGGAATGATAGAACGTAATTCCGCTGATACAGACTAATTATTAGTTTCAATCGTACTTATTCATATGTGCGGGAATTTAAAATTTTCATAACGTCTCTGAAGATAGTGCTCCGTCCAACTTGGATCAAAAAGAGTCGTCGAAAAAATTTCATAGCTGAGGCACAACAATGTTGAGATGCAAAAATTTGGATGTGCCACAATATTAAAGAGCATTATTTTTGCACTAAAATGTTAGACTTTTATTACTCATAATCTTTACAAAGTAAGTAGGAGTACTAATGTTTGAGTGGTATGCTTGGCCGCTACACTAAAATTACCTCTAGGACGTGCGTTTAATTGCTTCTTGCATGTTCTCCATTTAATGCATCGGCCCCGTTCATGTCTTTTGTTTGCTTTCTCCAAGTGCCGTATACTTTGATTCATTTTTGGTGCACACATTTAACGAAAAAAATTAAAATCCAAGGCAAAGCTAGAAGTAGAGAAACAAGGAATCAAATATCATCCCATGATAAAAAAAGATAAATTTCAATATTTTCTGCGGCTCATAAAATAGTCAAAATAAATTGCAGTAATCACAATTAGATCGTCTCGTTGATGAAATATTCATAACTCGAAAAATTTTGATGGCCTTCAAAAAACAGGAACTTGCAACAACAAGAACATGGACACGAGTTCATAATTTCTCGCTAGATGCTTCGTTTTATAACCTTCTGTATTGGCCTCCTAGTGCCGCTAATCATAAGACAAGGAACTGAATATTTGACACTAGTTTCTATTTAAAATTTTGAAATGCGCTAAGCCCTTGTCATGCACTCTGGGTCAAAATTTTCTCTTAAGTTTACAGCGAGAAATTTCTGATGTTTACCGTTAATATTTTAGACAAAATGAGTGAGCACTATGAGTCACTTACGAGGAGGCTTACGCAAATTCGTTGAACTGCTTTCTAATTGAGATCCTTGTCCAAGGAACGAAATTATCAAACTTCAGTTAATATACAAAGGAGAAATAGCAGGAAGGACAGCATCGAGAAATCTAATTTGTCATCCAAACATGGAAGGAGGGCACCTGCTGGTAATAAGAAAAGGTGTTAGACAAATTAAAACGAGTTAATGACTGTGTTGTAAATATATTGTTCAGCAGCTGCAAATAAGACCAACCGCTGCAAGATTATTGCCGTTTAAGAGGCTGACATTGCATCACGGATTACTGAACAAGCTAACTGAACTAATGAAACACAGACCAGAAATTCATCATTTTATCTGAACCATCAGTTATATTAAAAAATTAGCGTTGTTGAGCAGATAAATTATTAGGAAGAGAGCGAACTTCTTCCTCAATGTGCACATAATAATAGGGAATGAATTATATTCGTTAAGTGATAATCATAAGTGAAATTTTCAGGTTCATTTCAAAGTTAGTTAATTATTGACAGGAAGCAAGATTTCTTTTTAGTGAGCCAGTAAGAGAAAAGAAAAAATGAAGTGGATGCCCTTCTGTTTAGGGTTTTGAGAGGGTTTCAGCATATTTATTATTCTATCGTCATTATTATTCTATTTCTATTCAAATCAGATATTATTGATTTTTAAGATCAATATCTGCTGTAATAGTTATTTCATCATATTTATCAGGCATCGGAATTACTAAACAATGGCTTTTGATTCTTCTGCCTCCAATATAATGACATGATCCGAAAAAAACTGACATCGTGGTCAGTTCATACTGTACTGATGCATTACAAAACAATGAGCTTGAATCTCAATTCAATTGACCAACATGCGTTTTTGGAATCCAAAATTTTGTGCAATGAGAAACGCATCGAAGTTTTGTTTTGCAATCACTATAGAAGTCATGCAAGTGGAAGTAAACTTACCCGTAGCCTCGCGAGACGGCGACGCAGATGACAAAGCTTCCGCATGATTGCTTCTTGTGATGGCGTGCTGCAGTTTCTATGGTGAAGTTTTGCTATCAATTTAGTTGTTAAAATAAAAGCGAATGAGACCATTTTTACATTATTAAGAGGTATTTCGAATGGAACCAAAAAATTTTCACTATTGAGTTCGATCCATCCTTTGGGTAAAATAATTTTTTTTCTGGAAATTTAAAGTCAAATCACCAAAATGTGTCCCAAAAGATACAAAGAAAAGAAAATAAGCACATATCAGAGCTGCTAGAAATTGAGCTTGAGGTATAGTATTTTGGCTCGGCCAAAAAACTGCGAGGTGTGATTTCAACGTGAAAAAATTAGAGTACTGGGGCAAAGGAATCAGGATGCAATTTCGATTCGTGATTGAAATAATTTTGTCGATTAGTGGCTTGCCATTTTCATATTAACGACTTTAGCCAATTTTTTTAAGTATTTCAGTTGTCATCTTCGTACAGTTTAGAATCGCAAAATTCCTTATCCGAATTTAAATTACGGACAACAAAAGTTTAGATATGATTTTAACGCTAAAAAATTTGAGATTTATTTTTAGTGGCCGCTGATGTTTCGAGTTTTATCGACAAGCTAGGGGGATTTATCGTTCAAATTCTGAAGAAAAGACTAAAGTGTCGATACTTTGAGGCACGGTGGAGATTTTCTTCTATTAGGAAGTGAATGGGTTGGTTTAATGAGACTTGGCAGAGTTTGCTTTATTCTTAACAAAGTAAGGAATTACCAAGAACCATGAAGGTAGAAAAATTCATTTTTAAAATATTTTTTGAGAAGACTTTCGGAAAATGTCGATTTAAAGGTCAGCTGAAACGATTGTAGCGGAATACATTCAATGAGTTGAGAATAATATTTTCAGGATATTGTGCAAATAACATTGAATACTGAATCAAGCATTATAAAAACGTAAACATTACGGAAAAAATTAATTTCAATATTTTGCTCGATCATGGGCATCCTTATTTTAAATGAAACTGCTAAAAGGTTATTTAAATAAAAAAATTGCACCTGATTTGCAATATAATTCTCAGAAATATAATAAACAAAAATGGAAACAAAAAATAAAATAAACAAATTTTGTAAACAAATATGCCATTGATCGGAAAAATAACAATTAAGTTTTACCACAATCGCCTTTGGGACGGGGTATGAAATCCCGCCTCATATTCGCAATATATTCGAGTCCCGTCTCATATGCGCAATATATTCGAGTCCCGTCTCATATTCTCAAATGAGAGACGTCTTTTAATTATCTTTGAGTTGTGAAGTGATCTTCACCCAAGTCTCAGCCTCCATAGCGTCTCGCACAGACCAGAGCGCTCGCATGGCTGAATGTCTTCCTTAAATTAGATCTGTGTTGGCTAAGTTGGTATCATCATAAGACTCATCAAGGTAGACAGCCAAGAGCCATCACTGTCTCTAGGTCACGGGAACACCGAACGAGATCACCACATTGTTCGAAATATTAAGCAATATTTGCAATGAAACTGAGCTGTCTCTGCTCAGCTGATTATATACGAGATGAAGTGACTAGTGAAATAATATGTTTAATGATTGGCTAGATGGACTAATGCCCTGAAGATTGCATTGTTATGTTCAATTTACTGCATGAATTTCATGTATTGTTGTCAATTAATATTCGCTTTCTTGTAGGATACTCAATTATTTATTCGTTTTATATATCGCGCCCAACGATCTTAGACGTAACGAAACGAGGTGGAAAATTGAGTTGTCATGATTCGGCTCATTTACGCTCGCTGCTCTTTATACTGTTAGTTACATTTGCTACAGTTTTTAAAAATTTCATCTCAAAATATTGATATTTTTCTAGTGCACGTCTGTTAATTTATTTCGTTTCAATTCTATGTCAATGTCCACTCTTTAATCTTCATCACAGAATATTTTATTCAGGCGTGCAATTGTGCCACGATTGTTATTCAAGTTTCACTTAACTGCTCAATATTAGTCTTTTGGAGCCATTTTGTAACGTTAACAAAGGATGGGAATTATAAAACACAATTTTCTCGTCCACCGAGGCTGCAAGAGTGGAAGTGTGTAAGCCAAAGCTCAGGTGTTTGCCGAGTCAACAAGAATGTTGGATAAGAAAGACGTGAGCCTCACCCGATACAGCGGCTTGCTCTTTGTCTTGCCTTCGAGCTGCCCCCTCCGACACGACTCTCTCCTCGGTGTGTCGCCATGAGTCCTGATTATGGTATCTTACCTTCAATTTAATACTTTGCTGAGTTATTAGAACTATTTAATTAAGTTTCGTTCTATGTGTTCTAGCAGCAAGTCAAAGGTTGTTGAAATTGCATCACTCATAATTGCTCTTAGTGTGTAACGCAGCGTCGTAAGCTGTTCGAAAATGAGTCCTGTAAAAGGTTACCCACTATTCTGCAGTTAAAAAACTAAAACTTGTTATTAAAGCTATTCGGCTCTTGCTACTTTGGAAATTCCGAGGTTATGTGAGTGTACAGCATGCCAAATAACCTTAAGATATTTTTTTTTCGCAGGAACTTGAAATCCATTTTGTCTCGAGTTAAATCAATTTAAATTAAATTGCGCCATAAGTTGAGGGAGCTATAATGACGTCATCCCGTATATTAGCTGATGAAACTATTGTGGCGGCGTCCATACACCCGAGTCACTGTCACCACCATAGAA